TTTGCAGTCGTTACCTTCCCAATCAGCGTGATTATTTTGCCACTTTCATAATGTGTCAGTCGAGTGACAGGCTGGCTGAACATCTCTGGTCTTTTTTAATTTTTCTTTTCCTTTTACACGATTGAATAGCAAGTCGTCTAAGCCCAAATGATTTCCAAGCAGCGCTGTCGCGGCTGCCGTAATATTAGACGCACTTTTTTTTTTTTTTTAATTTGACAAGGTGTAATCTAATTTTTTTCCCCTAAAACAAAGAGAACAGCGATGCAAAAGGTGTAGGAGACACAGGCAGGCAGAGATTTCGAGATCAGTACAGCACAGTGTTCCTGCAAAGTGCCCTCTATAGATAGAGTTTTTGTTTCCAGTTGCGGTTCTTGGTGCCCTTGAGAAATCCTTCTGCAGAAACACAGCAAAGTCAGTGGTTTGCTTTTTTCGTTTTGGTTTTTTGGTTGGTTTTTTTTTTAAACTCTAGAATTTCAGAGCTGAGGACACCCCAAACGTGTACAGGGCGCTCCCCCTTGCTTGGAGGCGCTAGGCGGGCCTGCGAGAGCAGGAGCGGTGCTCTGCAATGTTAATCGTCATTCCCCCTCCCTGAATTCCAGCATTAATGGGATTCTGGAAGATGGCATGAAAGGGGGTCTACAATGAGGTGGCGGTCTTCTCGAGGGGCGCTACCTTCCCTTCCCCTCCACCCTGGACGGGAACCGGATTATATTAATGCTATTATGGCATGGATTTAAGATGCTCAGGATTTTAGAGTCTGCATGAGCATCCTGCTCCAGAGTTGCGCCCCGACGCTGCTCTTTCACTTCTAGAGTACGACTGCCGTATTTTCCCGTGAGCCTCGACTGGAAGTGCAGGGATTTAGCAGCATCCTCCAGGCCTATTGAGGGACATCGGTAGCCGCGGGCCGCTCTCGTTGACTCGACTTGTGCGTGACCCTAGCTTGCCCACCTCTCTACGAAAGGGGGCAGCAATTATTTTTTAGTTTATAATTAGTTTAATGCGCTGGTTAGATGGTATTTCTTGAGCGACGCTGGCTTTCAGAGCATCCAACCCAGCTCTGAAACGAGCGGTTTTTTTAAAACCGCCTCAGTGTGACTGTTACCTATTTAATCCCTGGCTTGCTTTCATCTTTAGTCTCTGAGCAACTTGGTCTTTTCCTAGGACCCTGAAGAATATTTGGAATATTCTCAGCAAAAACCGGATTGTCAGGCTAGACGGATTCACCCAAGTTTAGGGCTAGACGGGACCTTGCGAGATCATCGGGTCCAGCCCCCCTAACCCCTGCTCCGGGCAGGAAAGAGAAATAACCCCAGCAAAGGGTGCGCCCAGCCCCTAGTGTCAGCGACCGGGCTACAGATCTGCTGACAGCTGGGCCAGAAATGATCTACCCTACTTATGCTGGAAGCAGAGGGAACACACATGCATTGTGCAGCTTTTTAAACACCTGCAGTTGCACCAGGCTTGCAAAGGGCAGAGCAACAGGATGAGCGGGGGGAAAAGGGCTGTGGTTACCCTTATGGCACCGCAGCTGCTGAAGAGGCCACCAGCTGCCAAGCCTTAGGGAAGTTTTTGGAGATGCTCAGAGCTAAGCAATTAACTTCTCCCAAGACACAGAAGTGTAGCAGTGATAGCTTCGCATGTCCAGAGGTTGCTGAAGCCTTGCTCGTGGCACGCCCTGATGTGCCACCTGGCTTCCCTCGTCATTGTTTTACAAGAAAAGGGCTTGGAGGGACTTCAAATCCTGATATGTAATACTCCTTCTCGAGCCAAACAAGAGGCCGCTTGGATCAAGAGAGTCTGTCGTATGCCCGTGGCCCAATCTAGACAAGGACAATGGCGATCTGTTCTGTTTTATGTTTGGCACGGCCCTTTGGCTTCAGGCATGTTATCAACCGGCAGAGCCTGGGATCTTTTGCTTTTCGGCTCGGTTATGCTTTGGGGAAGTGGCCGTCAGACGCAGAGTCTACCCCGGGTTTGTCTCTCAAAGGCGAATGGGTGCTCCAGCCCATATGGCCGTGATCCAAACACTGTCAAGCTTCAAGACTTGTTCCTCCCTATCCTGCCTGAGCCTGCAGACGTGCTTCCAAACTGTCCCTGCAGCTGCCCTAGGATAAGCTCCAGCACGGTGGGATCCCCATCAGCTGCAAGGTGAAGAGGCACTCGGCTTGCAAAAAAACTCCCCTTCCACCATCATCCCATGTGGAAGGCCTGATACAAAGTCCACCAACGTCAATGGAAACACCCCCATTGACTTTGCTGAGCTTTGGATCATCCCCTTATTCACCGTCACTAAGGGCCAAATGTGTGTCTAAGGAGGCAGCCGCATCTGCAGGGATTTTCAGAAGTGCCGTAGCAGGGCAGACCCCCTCCCCGCAATCTCAAATCAATGGACGCTCTTAGGCGCTTTTGAATCTCTCTGCATTTTAGGTGCCTACCCTTTGAAAATCAGGTTTTAAGTCACAGAATATCCAAATATTCTTCAGTGATCCCAGGCCCTTCTGGAGCCCTGCTTCTACTTCCTCCACGGAGCCTCCTCCAGAAATGCATCCTGCTTTCTCCGCACGGCCTCGGTAGGGCCTGAAGGAGCATCTCCTCAGAGACTTTGGCAGACGTTCACGGGTTTGGATCACTGGGGCCATCAAATCTGACTGCCTGCTTAATGCTGCCCAGAGACCCTCACTTAGCGATTTCCACGGCCAGCCCGGTAGCCCCTGGCTGAGTTCGGGTTTTAGGTAGATGTCCTGCCCCGATGCACTTGCCAAGCCTCACTCCACTGCCTGGCACCCGCGTCGTTTTTAGCTTTATTTTATGGTTGTTATTATTGGAGCTTAAAAAAGGATTTAGGCCTAAGAGCTTCTTGGATCACCTTGGGTCTGCGTAACCTGCCACGCTGGAGAGCAGCCAAGCGGTTCCACCCTTGGCAGGGCCAGGTGGGCACATTAGAAACATTTTTATCAAGACCAAAATAAATACATCCATAAAGAAAGTGTATAAAGCCCTTTTTAGTGCACCTAAGCCCTTACACTCATGCACCTATTCATGAAGGCAAATTCTGGCATTAGTGGCAATTGTAAGAGGGGCTGGTAGCCCTGGGGAGGAGGGAGGTGGGATGGGGACTTCTCATTTCAGGCTCTGCCCTCTCTGCTGTTTTTAATAGATATTTTTATAGTGGATTTTTTGGTTTTTGGGAGGTGGCGGGGGGCAACAGTTGGAACTGAAAGAGCCACAGCTGGCCACTTCAGAAAGACGTGGGCAACAACGCAGCATTTCTGAGTGGTATTCTTGTACCTATGGGTGTCGGAGGGAAAAGAGGGGGGAATTACCAGCACTGAGGGTCCGAGCACTGAAATCTCAGCATCTTAAGAGAAGGAGAAAGACAAACAGAGAGAAAGAGAGAGAGAGCGAGAGAGAAAGAGAGAGACAGATACTGTGTCCATACTGCACTGGATTTCTCAAAAAAAATCACACAGCTTTAAGACCTGTACGCTAGGAAAGCCACTGCCTGGTCTGGTATTGTGGAATAAGGCCTAGTGGGAAGGGGAGCTATGGATAGGGGAGAGAAGAGCAGTCTGGTTTGTAAAGGCCAAAGCCTCGGGGGATTATAGCACAGTACAAACCCTACCAGCCTGCTCTTCCCCGGGGTTGGCCGGGGGGGTGTGCATCCCCTTATACAGGGGATATCTAAGGGATTAATGGGGGGATGTAGGGGAGGGGAACAAGGCTCTCAGGACAAAATTTTCCAACCAGAATATGCCGCTCGTCGGACAGCTTGCGGTTCACAACAGAGATTGAGTGGCCAGACTCGTCAAGCCAGCCTCCCTGGAGCGTCCCTCTGCCGTGCAGCCTACCCACGTCCCTTTGGAGAAAGAGGATCTCTCCGTTTTGGGGTCAGGTCCATGGTCCTGAAAGTCGGCTCCAGGCACGAGCTGGTTAAACAAGGTGGGCGAGGGGTAAAACCGTGACCTCTGGCCACCCCCCAGCGGACAGCCCTGCCCCGGGTAGCTGCTTGCCTTGGCATAGCGGGGTCCTCCACGAACAAGGGTGGCATGCGTCTCTGATGAGATCCACCACCCCGTGCGTGCGTCGAAGGCAGGGTTGATCTCTCTGTCTTGGGCTGCAGGTACTAGCTCCTACGTGGAGGGACTCTAGGGTATCGTCAGTGGGAAATGAGGAGGGTGTATAATGGCAAGGTCCTTGGAATAGGAATCGGGGCCTATTTTGGGTGCAGAGTCTATGGTCCGGGGACGACAGGGAACAGGTCGTTCTAGTGAAATGATGCGAGAGAGAGAGCGAGATCCACCGACACCACCACCCAGGGTTTCCTACTCTTGCCTCCCCCTCCCCAGAACCAAAGGTGGACCCCCGTTACAGCGCTTCCACCGCCAGGAGTTAGAGCTGTGTGACTCCTTTCCTCCGAGGGGGGGTCAGGGAGTTCAGTTACCAACGGGGGCAGGAACACTGGCTTCTCACAATGCGTTTGGAATAAATTGCAGCACAGCATAATCAATCCGAACCGAAAGAGGAAAATCAAGAAAAAGCAAAAAATCCAAAAGGAGAAACCAAAAACAAATCCACTCGAAAGAAACCAGAACTGGAAAATAAATGTCATATATATTTATCTATATAGGAAACAAAAAAAACCAAAAAACCAAAAAAATAAGAAGAACTAATTGAAAAGAGTGGCATGCAAAGAAGATCGTTACATTCTCCTTTCATGCACCAGGCCCAATGTCCAAACGGCAAGGTAACCATGACGACAAAAAAGTGCAAGAACTCAGCAACATTACCAAAGGATGCATAGAGAGGCCCACAATGCAACTCAACTCATCTCGGCGAGACCCGGGAACGGGCGGGTCTCGCTCATCTTAAAGATTTCTTGCTTTTTCTCTTTTTTTTTTTTTTTTTTATTTTTTTTTTTTTTTTTTAATTTTTTTTTTTTCTCTTAAGAATGTAAAAATGTGGGTAAAGAAAGTAAAAAAGAAAAAAACCACACCAACCTTCTCGTAGCTCTGAGGGATGTTAAGGGGGTTTGATGCGGAACACAATGACATGAGGAGAAGAGAAAAATAGGGGAAACACAGAGAGAGTAAAAAAAGGCCTTCTCAAGGCTGTCAGCTGCAAATTGATTGTTTTTTTTTCTCTTTTAACCAAAATAAAAAGAAAGAAAAAAAGAAAGAAGGTAGTAACGACCCTTTTTTGTTTTTTGTTTTTCCTTTTTCCCTTCCTTCCTTCCTTCCTTTTTCTCCCTCCCATCCGAGTTGAAGGGCTTGTTTCGGAGCATCCAAGCTCTGCGAAGCGGTCAGATTGCATACAATCCAAATTCAGCACCCAATGGAGGGGCCAACCCCACCAGCGAGCTCTCACCTTCATAAGCCTGGCTGATGTTTCGGGACGGGGAAGTGGAGATTAGACCAGGCAGAGTAGACCTGGGTGTAAAGGTTGTCCCCCCCGAAATTGGACACCCCCCCTTTACCCTCCCCCCAGCTTGTCTGTCTCCCACCCCTACCACATCCCACTCCCCCCAACTTGGCTGGCGCTAATTTTCCAATGCAGGCCTGACTTTAAAAAAAAATAAAAATAAAAAATTAGAAGAAGAAAAGACATTTCCTTGCAACGTTAAAACTTACAACTCCTATCCCAGGTACTCTATAGAGACAAGCATGTTATGGGAGAAACATGTCAATTGGAAACACAAGCATGTTCGAGACTTTTTTGAAACGAAAACGGGGGGAGGGAGGGGGTGGGGGAAGGTCGGGAAGGGGGAAGTACGTGAACTCCCCCCAGAAGCGATGGAGTTTCGGGACTTCGTTACCTTTCCGCAAAGTTAACACACAAGAAACAAGGAATTAAACAGCATGAAACCACCCAAACCACAAGCCGAGCTCTCTTCCACAGTGTTTTTCTGCACCCTCCAGGCCTGTTCATGCTGGGTTTGCCTATTAGAGAGGCCTCAGAAGCACACAGGTCATTTTTGGTATGGCGATGGCCATCTACTCGGACCTGAGATTCATCCAGGGATCGAGAAAAGGAGCTCTCGAGGATGACAGCCGTTGGATGTTGGCTAGCTTTCACCGCATAAAGGTGGGGAGTTTGGGAAATAAAATACCACCAATAAAAACACATTTCTTAAAAAAACCCATTTAGCCCTTGTGTGATATCACATTCCCAGATTTATGCTCCCAACGGTGGAATTTCAGAGCTCAGACAGCAGGGGAGAATTCCAAAACGCAATTTTCCAGCTGGCCACAAAAGCCTCTTTAAAAATTTAGCTTGGGAAGATTAAATAATTAAAAGCCTTCTCTCCATGTGCATGTGATTTAGTGAACGTGAGACACAGAGAGAGACAGAGAGAGAAAGAAAGAGAGAGGAGCGTACACAAGAGCATGGGTCTGCGTTTAACTGCAGCGTCAGCATGGGTGGGGGGGGTTTGCGCTTCTGAGGCCACATGAGATGAAAATGGGAACAGTTTGCTGGGATGCAACATTTGTTTTTCCAATGGTGGTCTTAACGGGAGAGGGGCAGGCCCTGCTCTCCTTAGCAAAGGGTTCTGCTGCGGGAAAAATATTAGTCCAGAACTACACCGAAGAATATGTCCCAGGTCCGAGGGCTTCAACCACACGAACAGCAAAGAAAAGGCAGGGGTCACTGACCCAGAAAGGACTAGAGGAGGACCTCAAGTGCGGGGCAGTACCCTGCCTTGCCCAGCCCCACGCTGCTCTGGAAAGGGCGCTCACCCACCGGCTGCACGGGGGCAGGATGGCTACGCCCGCTTTGCCCGTGCTCACGTGCCCAGGCAGGCTGTGCGGGAGCCGGGGGTAGGCGGACTCTGCATCTTCTGGATGGAAACAGTGCCGTGCCTCAATGCTCCCCTAAAGGGGACTGGGCGAGCTGGGATTCCCCCTGTGCCTCACTGCAGGTGCAGTCACCCATTACTTGCTCTCCCCGAGCTGGGCGAGCAGAAGGCTCCCACCCCAATGCTCCCCTTCAAGGGAGAGCGGGCTCACCCCAGGGAGCTGAGAGCACCCTCCCCTCTTCCAGAGGTCACCCAGCTGTGCCAAAACCGTCCCGCTTCCCCCAGGGAGAAGCCTTTATGAGGACGGGGGTAACCTCAGGACTCGCTCTGCATCACAGCCTGATCCCTCCTCTCTCGGCCAACGAGCTGGTGATGCTCTTGGGCCAAATGCCCAGGGCAGCGTGGGGATCAAAGCCGGTCTGGTGCTGAGGATCGGGTCTCTTTGGGGTGGGGGCTGTCTCTCTCTATGTGTTTGTGCAGTGCCTGGGGAGTTTCAGGCATTGCAGGAACATCAGTGAATGGCAAGAGGCCTTCGTGTTGCTGCTCAGGGTGCAGTAGTAAAGAAAAAAAAAAAGGGACAAGAGCCATCCACCCATTTTGGGGGTGGGAGACAGCACAAGGCAGAGCTGAGCACCGCTGAGGCGGGCAACACTGCAGCTGCCACTGCCTCCAGCGCCAGGGGGACCCAGCCAATGGTGGAGAGCCCTGGTGCTTGTTTCAAGAGGTCCTCTCCCTCCCCGAGCTCAGCAGCACGGCATAACAACCCGTCTCAACATCAACGCCTCCCCCTTGCTTTAAGAAAGGCTCGGATCAAACGGCAAGGGCAAAGCAAGGCCGCGGGGCAGATTTGCCAGCGTTCTGAGCCGAGGCGCTCCCTACCTCTCACGTAAAGGTTAGCGGGTGACGAGTAGCGCACCCCGGCGCTGTTGCTGGCCACACATTCATACTTCCCCTGATCCGTCTCCTCGCTGCTCTCGATTTGCAGGCCACCTGGTGGGACAGAAGAAGACGGCAGCAAAGGCATTATTAGTCACAGAGTCAGTAAGAGGAGGTCTGGCACCAAATCTGGGTTTTTCCCCAGGAACCGAACACTGGGCCAAAGTCCTTGAGCGTTGGTGCCAAGACTTAACTATTCTCATGGCTGGTGGTCCCAGGCAGGGGCACTGCTGGACCTGTACCCCAATGCAGGTCCTCAATCGCTATCTGCAACAGCAGCACAAGCAGTATGAGCTCTCCCCTACTGCCCTGCAAGTTGGCATCCACCCTCACCTGAAGCAGCCATTTTCCAAGGGGGAGAGGAAACTTTCATGTGCTGTCCTGGTCGCTGTTGGGTCTTGCTTGTATAAAAATACTAGTCTCAAAGAAAGACTAAAACAGCACTGGAAAAGCACAATGCCCATCAGTGAATGCTCCCAAGCAAAAACTCCAATAATGCAATATTTAATAAAGGTATCCAGGTTGTAGCTGCATTGGCCTAGAGGCAAAAGGAATCAGGGTTTATGGTGGAGGTGCTTTTATTAGACCAGCTATCCGATGATCTGGGGGCTGGACCCGATGATCTCGTGGGGTCCCTTCCAGCCATGAAATCTAGGAACTAGATTTTTGCAAAGAAGGGTGTTTGTGTCCAAAAGCTTGCAATTAGGTTTTTTTTTTTTTTGTTGTTGCAAAAATCTTGTTGGTCTAATAAAAGAGATCACCTCTACCACGAGTCCTGATATTTAATAAACTTTTTTTTTTTTTGTTGTTGCAAAAATCTTGTTGGTCTAATAAAAGAGATCACCTCTACCACGAGTCCTGATATTTAATGAACTTCTTTCTTTTTTGTTTTCCTATCGGATTGGTCAGCCCATCTGACCAGCCAATGAAAATAATGGCTGTTCTTCAATCTGTAAATGCTTTCAGTTTATGAGAATATGCTCTGAATCCAGACTAAGCACTCCTATTATCAGCTATTTAAAGAACAGACACGCACAATTATGCAGCATGCGCTAAACAGATGAAAATCACCTCTGTCTTTTACCTGAGAAGGCTCCAGGTCTGCAAAACTCCACTTCAAGCACACGTTATAGAAATAAACCAATATAATATCGCTTTTTGTTTTGCATATTATACTTGGTTATTCACAGAGATGCAGACAGAAACCACGGCCCTACAATATTTCTGACTCTCTGAGAAATCCCAGCTTGGTTTCATAAGGCGGACAGGGTCCTAAATGAAAGAGGGGCAACTGGCATCAACGTTGAGTGCCGATTCTTCAGGAAAGAGAGAGTCGACGTGTCTGCACACCAGGCAGGTGCCGTGCATCTGCGAGTGCACGTGGAGAAGAAAGCATGGTGCGTACAGAAGGGGAGCGGAGGGCGTGAGCGTGTGTGCAAGAGAGAAAGGGGGAGGGTATTACTCTTGCTAGGGCTCCTGGCATCTGGGCAGCTCCCAAACACAGACTGAATAGGATTTAAAAAAAAAAAATAACAAAACCCTCAAAGCTAAATCTCAGCAAAGAAACTGATGGGCATTCCAGTCCTGAAGAGCAACTTGAAAACCAAACGGGTCAGGAGTTTCCCATCGAGACTTCAGCTAGGCAGGTTTTGTACAGAAGTAAAAGCAGGGAACGCCGTGTTGTGTGCGAGCCTGGCAGGGAGGAGGAGGAGGCTGGGCTGACTGGGTGTCTGTAGGAGCTTTTGTTCATTCGGGTGAATTTGTGGGCTGGTTCCACTCGTCCGAGACAAAAGCTTTATTTGGCTCGCGGTGGTGCCCGTATGAATGGGGAGCACGGGGGGAGGCTTCAAACCGAAACCCTGGGCCAGCCACAGAAAGATGCAGCTGCCGGCTGCAATGGACTCCAGGGTCTTGTCTACATTATGGAAATAAAGCCCCATTCATTCTCCACCCATGCATCTTCACTGGCACTAGCAGTAGCAGAGCTGAATGCTGACAGGTCCTGCTGAAAGCCATGTGATAAAACACGGTGATCAAAACACCCTGCCTCCAGCTCCTGCTATTGATTTGACTGGGGAAGAATTATGGGGTTTGAAATCTCCCCGTGTAGATGCAGCCAAAGTGAGAAGGGCCTACAAGTGACACCTTGTATGTCCCAATGGCCCTACAGGCATCACGTGCTGAAGTCCCAGGGAACTGCAACCGCTGCGGCTGGTCAACCTCCCTTCGAGCTCCTTTCGAACCGTGTAGACGGACCGTGGAAGTTACTTACCAAGGATACAGCTCCCAGAAACACCCGAGATCAGAGGGGAAAAGGAAGGCTCTGATACTATACAGAGCAGGGCACTGGGATGGTGAGTGCCAAGTCCCTTCACCATCAGTGCCAAGCCCCCTTCATCAACTTAGTACCAACCATGATGCAGCCCTGAGTGGCTACCAAACTGTGACAGCATTTAATGCCAGAAATGCACTTCCAAGCCCTGGACAGATCAGCTCCTCCACCTGCACCATTCATTGCACGCAGCAGCAATTGAGCCGTGTGTTCAAGAAACAAGAGGCAAATCCACCCAGCGGACAGAGACGGACATGGGTGCCGTATTTACGATTAGGGCAGACATTGAACAGAAATAAAATATCCAGGGAGGTGACGCAGGACAGGAAATGACAGCAACAACCACGAGCTTTGGGGCCAAGCACAGATCACACAAAACAGGAATTGAGTGGAACTGAGTGGAGAGAGTGGGGTGAGTGAGAGAGTGAGGTCTCTTACCTCGGATCGGAGTACCTTCTGCAAGGAAAACAAAAAAGAAGTGAAAGGAGTGAAAAAAAAAATGAACACACCTGGGCTGCCAGTGGGAAAAGGACCCAAGTCAAGGAAGACGGTTCCCAGCAGGACAACTCCTAAGCTACCTGCTGTCATTTTTAATTAAATGGGCAGACTGGAGGGGGAGAGGAGGAGAGATGTTCTTTGCAGAGCAATCCAATTCAGCCTGTTTAATCATACGCCAGGGAACTCTGCCTCAAAGTCCAGATGCTGGCTAAATTCATGATCCCACCGCTGGTCAGAAGGGACAGGAAGTCTCCAAATTCCCAGCTACACGTAAGCCAGCGTTACTACCTGCCACTGATACCCGCTGACGAGCCTGTGTTCATCCTCCTACCCCTACGGGCACATGGATTGGTGTTATCACCCTGTTATCTCAGGCAAGGAGACCAAGACCTGTTGGAAGGAAGTGATCTGCCTAAAGTCAAACCTGGCTTCCAATGCCATGCCCGTGCTACGGATGCAATTAGGGCATGGAGTTTCCCATAATGCCCTTGTTTGGGGTCCCAACGTTATACCAAGAATGACTCTGTGGGGTCTGCAGAATAACGAAACCAGGCAGCCGGAGGCTGGAAGAGCTGGGGCTAAGAAGCGAGGCCACGCCACTGCTAATATAACCAGGAAGGCCGCAGAGGGGTTAGCCACCGCTCCCAACCCAGGGCAGTTGCTGGTCAATCCCCCTCCAGCTCCTTGCCCTGGCAGAGCCCAGCGTGACCTTTTTGCCTGTGCACAGGTCCATGACAGAGGGAGTAACATCGGAGCCAGTGACCCACCTGAGCCCTGCCCGTTGCTCCCCCTTCCCCCTTTGACAAACTGCCACCCTCTCAGTGTTGCTGGAAACCATCTTCCTTGGAAAACATGGAGGATCGTTTTCTCCGCTGGCATTCAGATTTTCTGCACAGCTTAGTAATGTTTTTTACCCCCATCCTGAAAACAGGGCCGATTCTGCAAATCCCACTGCAAACTCTCCCTTACCACAAATAGGATGGCTTCTCAGTGACTGTAATAATACTCTGCCATTTTCCAGTGCCTTCCAGCCAAAGATCTTATAATGGTTCGCAGCCCACCCCAATTCAGGTACAGCAGTATTATTACCCCCATTTTTACAGATGGGGAAACTGAGGCCCAGACAAGAACATCACAGAGGGAAGTCTGCAGCAGAGGCAAGGACAGGACACAGGGCTCCTGACTGTCCATCCACTGCCTTAACCACCAGACAACCCCTTCCTTCTCATCCTTTAGCCTCATTCATCTTACCTGCCTTGTGGATGCACCAATTTCAGGATAGAAGGTAAAAAAATACATATATATATATATATTTATTGACTCATTACATCTAACCATTATTTAATTATTTCCAAAGGGGACGAGGGAAAAGAAGTGTTATAGTGTTAGGCTATTAGAGTCTAGTTAGAGTCAACGTCTAGTTAAGAGGTTAGGTTATTTGCTAGAGAGAGAGGTTAGCATCTAGTTAGGGTTAGGAACTAGCTAAGGTTAATAAAGCGGGTTGGTTAGCTGTCAGGGCAAAGGTTGGAGAGAGAGCGCGTGAGACAGAGAAAAAAAGGGAGGAGGAGCATTTACTCGGACTGATCTCCACGCGGGAGCGGATGGACAGGTTTTAAAGAGAGCGAGAGACAGACAAAGCAGCGGAGGGTTTCAGATCAATTCAGTGGAAATCACAACAGCCTCTGATACATCCTTCTGTCTCAAGACGGGAGCGAAAATCTGCCATCTGTGACAAAGCTGGGCCGAGGCTAGCAGCAGTGGGTGGTAGAGATATGGAGACCCCGGTATCACCCTCTGCTAAATATAAGTGGGAGCAGCTGCACGTTAGGGAGCACCTTGGAGGCCGGCTCTGCTCCGCTCTGAAGGTCTGCACAGGAGAAACGCTGGGAAGCAGGACCATGCATGGGTGGAAGGTGGGGCCCACACTCCTGCCTTCTTGAAATACTGCAGCTTTGGCTTAGTCCCCGTTTGCCCCGAGTATCACGATACCCATGGGGACAGGTGACAGAGGCTCCAGCGCTCTTGGAAAAGGAAGTATGCTAAGCCATGCCGTGCCGCCCTTAGCATCCCAATGCTAACTGGGTGCCCAAGGAGTCAGTCTGGGAGGGCCAAAAAGGGTTTCCAACGGGTCCCACCCCTAGAATGGATGAAATTTGGACCAAAATGAAAGAATAGGACTATAAGGAAACAGCAGTAGCCTGAAGGGTTGCTGGGACACAGATGGTAGATTTTCACCATTGGAGTTTCACATCTAACTAGGTCTAGATTCAACTGCAAGAAGGTCTAATCGACTCTCAAATGGCCCGGTGCATCCCTGGAGATTTCTCAGGGATAGTAAGTCAGACAGGCAGAGGGCTGCCTTTCCTCAGGGCTCAGGAAAGAGGGCAGCTGGGTGCTTGGAGACCCCCACAGTGGGCCAGGAGGGGGTCACGGATCCAATTTTCAGCAGGGAGCTCCAGGTGGGGGTGCCCACTTTCTACCTGGTAATGGACACATGCACCTTCCCTGAGGACGGGGCTGCGCGGCACTTCCGGAAAAAAGCAGGCCGGAGGTGGATAGGTTGAGGACCCCTCCACACTGGCTCTTTGCAGATCCCCCAGTCTGTCTAGCACGGCATGAAGCGCAGAGGTAACACAGGGTAAGAGCATGCAGCCATGGCTCAAGCCGGGAGCTGACTTCTGATGTTCAGGCTGTTTCCCCAGTCTTGCAGGGCACAACATCCGATTGCTCAGGGGCAAGTCATGGAGCTAGAGCCTGAGCCCAGGGGACTGGGCAAGGGAGCAAAGGCAGTCGAACACATACAGCGTGTGCCACTGCATTGTGCGGGATCAAAAATGCTGCCATGAAAGGGGCGACCCATGGTGGAGTAGGACTCCTTGCTCACGGTGGCATGCGGGGCCCGCTCTGCCGCCACCTCTCCCTTTGTGCTTTCTAAACAACAGGCTGCTGGCAAAACCCGAGCCCCGAAGTTGGGAGAAGCGGAGGCACCATTGCCATGGTAACACGAGAAAGTGTACCAGCCTTCTGCCAGGCCGCGTGCGATGTGTGTGCCCGCGCCGCTCCCTCCAGGGGGTGGAGAGCAGCCTTCCAAGCCCTCCATCAGCAAGCTACCAGGAAGGGCCCTGTGCAGCGTGCACGCCCGCTCCTGCCTGGCGGCTGCGCTCGATGCATCACCAACCGGGACCGGGCACAGGGGAGGAAACGGGACGCCAGTTTGGCCGACGGGTTCCCACCGAGGGTCCTGGCATCTCACGGGATGGGAGCAATTTGGAAGGGGAATCATTTGCCCACATCCCACCCCCGTATCCTCACCCAAAGCCTTGCAATATTTGGCTTCCACTTTAAAACAGACTGTCTGATGGCCTCGGCTCCCCGCACACTCCCTCTTCAGACAATGCCAATAACCCTGTTAGATGTGAAACTCCAAGACCTCCCGCAGGTGTGAACACAATTATCACAGTTCCAGGGTACAAGCTATGGTGTAATTGGGGAATTCCAGGACAACTGTTGCTACGTTACCAAAAAAAATCTATCCAATGTTAGGAGGTTGCAGTTGAGTTATATCTCCTTATACAGATATATTAATTATGAGGAGGAGGATTATTTTCGTAGCCTGCAATGCCCCTGAGGAAGTTCATTAAGAGGGCAGAATATCCCTACTGAAGGAGTTAGTAGAAGAAATGCACAGCATGCCTCTCAAGAAGCTGTTAAGAAGGAATTAGTTTAGAGGGCAAGGGTTACAAATCTGGAATTAGCAGGTTTGTTTCTGGATTGTTTTTTTTTTTTTTTTTTTTTTTTTTTA